GATTACAACACAGGTGTAAGCTACAACTCCCCCTGGTATTATTGAAGGCTACACTTTCAAAATTAAATAACTTAAGTCTCTCCAGCAGTTAATAAATAACTCGGCAACTGGTTAATCTGAGTTTGCAGAGCGAGCGTGTGGCTGCAGCTCCCCAGCAGCTGCTCAGAGCTTTGTGTATTGTCTTTGGAGGCGTCGCTGCTTCTCTTTATGCAACACTTGGGGAACTGCTGCCAACCCCCCCTCGCAAATGCAGGGGTTTTGTCTTTGGGGGTTTTGTGGGGGTGTTGGTTTTGGGTTGTTTTTTTTTAAAGTTCTGTCACCCCCTCCTCTCATTGTTCTGAAGCTGCTGCTTCCAGCCTTCCTCAGGAATGACCTAATCTTAACACAGCACTTCCCAATTACAGGGCTGTTCTATTAAGTTGGGATGCATCTGATTACATTTCATGCTGTATTTCATTAAGACTAATTAAACATCTCTTATTAGTTTATATAGGTCCAGTACCATTAAGAGCAGACAAGAGGCTCCTGTTTACATGTAGATGCAATTAACTATTTCCTGATAGAGTTGTCTGAACTTAACCTCCTAATTAAAAAAAAATGAAAGAAAGGCAGCACTAGGGCTACAATATTTACCCACACACGCTGTATCCAGCTTGAATAACACCCACGCTGTCCCACGCAGCCAGCTGAGCTGCTGCTGCAAGTCAGAGTGTGCTGGGATTTAGATGACTGCAGTCCTCACAAACCCTTAACAGAGCATTTGTATCCTGCTGAAAAGGACACTGAACTCCAAGGACAAAGCTGGATCCAGAGCCTACACACTTCTCAACGTCTCTTTTCTGCTCCAGGCTATGACATGAGCAGAGGTCCAGCTTCCTAGCAGACTGCAATTCCCAGTTATAGAAGTGTGAAGCCCTGACTTCCTCAGAATCACAGAATCACAGAATCTTCTAGGTTGGAAGGGACCTTAAAGATCATCTTGTCCAACCGTCAACCTAACTGACAAAAATAGACACCCCCACAACAAACAAGGAGCATCATCACTAAACCAGACCTCCCAGCACTACATCAACCCGTCTTTTGAACACCTCCAGGGATGGGGCCTCAACCCCCTCCCTGGGCAGCCCATTCCAAGGGCTGAGAACCCTTTCAGTGAAAAAATTTTTCCTAATATCCAGCCTGAACCTCCCCTGGCG